CCTGGTAAGCCAAAACTAAGAGAATAGGTATTTCTCCCCAAAGTTATACTATACTAGTAGTGTCATACTGGTGTAAACATTTCTCAAGAAAAGTTCTCTCCACTTTGTACTTTCAAAAATTAATGACATTTGCATTGGGACTTGTAAGTTTTCAGACCTGAAACAGATAATAGTGTATTAACCTAAAGCAGAAGAAATTATAAAACCATAACATGCTTAAAATTTACCAAAAAAAGGACTGTGATGAAAGTAACAAGATGAGAGAAGTGACTCCCCCTTCTTGTTTTCTGCATCTGACAAAATGATGGATTACTTGGCTAAAGGGAAAGTAAAATTTAACTTCTCTAGTTCAGGACCACATTCTTTAAATTGATTGATTTATCCTGGCACTAATCCTATTAATCAGTAGAAGACACAGCCAACCTAATTCCAGCATTTGAAACCTTCCACTGTTTCAGAAGAGACTGTTCTGAGCTAATAGAGCACAGCGCAAGACAAATAACAGGGCAAGAAGTATCCTCACTTCCCACACACAGACGGATGTTGGTTGGACAGAGAATAAAAAAGAAAAGGAATGGATTCCAATGTTCAGACTTTTACAAAGTAGCATATCTCAGTATGCCTGAAAATATTTATTCTGTCTTGTTGACGTGATGAGATTTTAAACAAGAATTCTCCAAAATTATGTTGGAGATAACATTCCCCATTCGCTAATAACTCAATTCAGCATCACATTGGAAAAGACTCTCCAAATCCAAAGTATAATTAATAGGAGTGGTCTTCTCTGACATACTAAGTGAATAGTTAAGGCTTTGCTGCTTGAACCTCAAGTGAGCAATGTCAATCTTTTCCTCTTTAAACGGAGATATGATTGAAATTGAAACTGCACTAACTCACTATTCAAGAAGTAAATCTAAATGGCAAGGTAGGCCCTTGAATCCAGAACACCCAATGGACTTGTAAGACAATTCTCAGACACTTAAACAATACGAGAAGTTTGTGTTGAAGTGAAAGTACAGGTCCTCATTTTTGGGAAGGTCATCTGGACAGCAATAGCTGAGTCATTAAAATGACTCCACTTTTTCTGGTAATATTTTATCACATGTCCTTGCTAGAAATAGAGAAAAAGTGGTATATCTGGGAACGTTAATCCAGGAATCTCCCAGCACTGTCAAGATGTGTAAAGAAGTAAAAAGGGTTTAGGAAAAAAAAAGACAAAATGAAACATAACAACAGAAAAAAGCCTGGTTCCCTGTTTTGCCCAGGATCACACAGCATACTGGAATGACAAATCCCGGTCAGTAAGTACTGACTACCTCAGAAGAGGTTCCAAGACCTCTCCCTCTTCCACATGCAGAGGGAGAAGGGCAGGAGGTGACTCACGGCTAGCACACAGCATGCTCGTGGCAAAGCTCAGGTGAGGGTTCCTGACTCCTACCGCTACGTTCGTCCCTTCCTACAGAGGAAGATCCAGTTATGCACTTTGTACTGCAGAAGCACACACCTGCACTTCAGACACCTCAAGGGTTACCAGCTTCCTCTTACTATTTGCAAAATCTTGCACACCTGGAGGACAGCAGTATCTATTCTTATAGATAAGATCATTTGTGCTTTTATGAAACAAAGCATGGGAACAGAACACAAATTGACTCTGTTATAGGATGAGATGTAGAAAAAAAGCTGAACAACTGTGTCAGTTCAGAACAGGTCATTAAATAATGTTTCTCCAAGAAAAAGCATCAGAATCTAACATTTTACTTCTTTAGGAATTTAGGAAATGATAATAGACTTCCACCTTACCCACAAAAGCAGCCATCTGAGCTGCTGTCCTTCCCACGGAGTTAACAACATCAGTCTCTGCTCCAGCCTCTAACATCATCCAGGTGATTTCTTTGTTTCCTGAATTTGGGGGGGAAGATATGGGGAATGAGAGAGAACAAACCAGAACTTGTAATTCTTTATGTTGTAGAAAAACAAGGAGTGAATTTCTTAAAGACCAGGAATAACACCGAGGGAAATGAATGTTCTTAATGTCATTAGTGTAAGAATGGATTAAGAGAAAGGCACAGTGCTGCCTCCCTATTTCAGAGGGTCAAATCAAAGCAAAAACTGCTCTCTGTAACGCACATTCAGTGCCCCGTGGAGCTTATGGGAGTCATATGCATATAACTACACTAGAGCTTGGTCCCTCTGGACATCAGTATAGAAGCAAATTCTACTAATCTAGTTTGACAGTTCAACATTTGCTATTCTAAGAAGAAAACCAAATGCAGTACTATTATGTAGCAGGAGCATAGAGAAGGGAACAGATTGTTCCTTTCTCCACAGCAGGAAGAGAAAGGAACCGAGTGTTCCTTTCTCCACAGCAGGAATTGGGTGTTCAGACTGGGCTAAATACCAAGTAAAATGAAGCTAAAATTTGATGGGAAGATTAGATGACTTAATTGGTGCCCTTCAGAGACTAATAAGGACACTTGTCACCACTCCTGCTGGTTCAGCTTTCCAAGGTATTCTTACTTATCAGTTTTTGTGTGTATGCTAAGTACAGAAAAGTGAATATAAAAAAAGAAGGGGGTGGTGGGTGGAAATGAATGTTTCTGATTTAAAAACAAAGGCATTGCATCAGTAGTGCTCATGTACCTTTTGCACTCACAGATAACAGGCCTTAAAGTCAACACTCAGAAGCATTCAAAGCCAGGATGACAGGTTAAAAGCTCAGCTGTGAGAAAATGGTAAAAATCCAGCATTTTCCACAAAGCTGCAGTCATTTAACAACCTCTAAGAGTTTGTTCCGATCTGCTGCAGCTCTGACATTACTCAACGCCACAGAACGCTGTAATTTCCCAAATCTTTTTACTGAAGTTTTAGCAGAAAAGCAATTTGACAATCTAGTTAAGGTTCATATACACACATATGCCTTTCTTTTTTCATACTTCTGATGAAAGAAGGCAGAATTTTAACTCTACCTGGTAAGAAATCTTACTTCCTTAGAATCTCCTTTTTGCGAAGATCTAAGTGGCCTAGTAAAGAAGATACTTAAAATAACCTAATATTCCCAGATCTAATCTTTTCCGCAGAAGGAACAATGTTTTTTATGTAATGTCTTTTTCTCACTCAAGGAAATAATTGTTCCTTTCATCAGGGAAAAAGAATAGCAAGAGGAAAGCTGCAAGCCACCACCTGAGACAGGAGAAGATATATACAGCTATAAGGACTCTCATAAAAAAAATAACGTAAGAGGAGAGGGAAAATTAATGTGAGAAAACACGTCTTTAAAACTTACTAAATACATTTTTAAAAGCCCACAAGATAATTGCAAAAATAGTATAGGAGAAAGGCAAAATTTGAAAAACACTGGATTGATTTGACAAGCCTCAAATATTAGTAAAAGCTACTGATTTGTAGTACTAAAAAAGGCAGTTTGGTGCAGCATCTTTTTCAGTGTAACACAGTATAATTAAACAGAATGTATCCCACTGCATAAGGAAACAGTCACAGCAGACTGAATTTTGAGGTCCGACAAACACGACGAAGTACGGAAAACTATATGCCTCAAAATACTAAACAAAGTCAATTTTTATATGAAAAAAGATCCCAAGCCTGAACAGTAGCTATCCTATTCCACTGTCCTGATGATTCTACTGGTCTCGACATATTCACATGGTTCACGTAAGCAACACTAAACCTGAATAATAGAAAGATGTCAACATTTTTCTTTAAATAATTAATTTACGGCAAATTGTACCCATCAATGTCATAAAAATCAGTGAGCTAAGTTTAGTAAGTTACCTGAAAGTCCAGCAAACATCAAGGCAGTATATCCATGCTCATGTTCATTGCAGTTAACATCAGCCCCATGTCGCAAGAGCAACCTGCACATGTCTATTTTCCCTTTGTACGCTGCATGCATTAGAGGAGTCATGCCATGCTAACAAAAGAAAGAGGAAGGAAGCAGCATACAAAAAAGAATTAGTTATATCTTTTGATCTTCATACCATTGATAATTTTTACTTCTACATACATACTCAGTATAACTACCAAAGCCTCATGTAATATTTAAGTTAGCAACAACAAAAAAGCTCACAAAATCTTCATGAAAAAATATGGCTACTAACGTGCAGTAGATTTTCCATTTCCATGTCACTTTTCTGATTATGCTGTGCTATGTATTTGAAAACAGAGCAGTGCTGAAGAAATGAAAACCATTTACCACCAATTTGTCATTGGCCTTTGTATGAGACATTATTGTTAAACTAATGCTTCTGCTAGCAGGAAAAGCTTGTTTTAGAAAATTCGTTAGGTTCCTAAGTTATTTCTTTTCTCCCCTCCATTATAGGATAAGCAACAAGAAAACTAGGAACAGGCTCTTGTTGGTTTTGCCATTACAAAGATTTGCAGTTCCTGAAACCCATCTTGCTCATTTTGAGTCATGATTACTGGTAGTTGTGCTATCCTCCTTTCTCCCATTTATCCACCCTTTTGGTATTGTGCCTGTGATCTTACATCAGCCAGGGCTCTGAAAGCCCTTGTAAAGATACACAGCTCTAACTAGACTTTAACAACCACATAGTCTCAAACCTTGCCTTTTGATAAACTGCACCAGTACAAATAGGATTAGCTTCAGCAAGGGAGGCACTGAGTTTTTATTAGAGTTGCACTGGTATAATTATAAATGCAAACCTGGGCAAACTCTAGGGGAAATTTTCAGAACTAGGGTGGATTGTTAGTGCAGGCTCTCTCCCTCTCAAAGGGCAGGGAGAATCGCATTTCTGTTTGAGAAAACTGTATGACATTCCGTTCTTAGAATTTGATACGCTTTTTCCAATATGCTGTTTATTTTCACTTAGCATCAAGTCAGGATTCGTCTTATCAGCCAAGACATAGTAATTGCCCAAGAACATTCTCCAACACTGAATACAAGGGAGTGTGCTTTAGTTTGTCCCTGAAGGAAATCAAAATGGCATTTTCTTCCTTTTTTTGCAGGTTAAGGCTGTGTGCATGAATACACTCATGTACACCATTACTGCACCTCTGTAAACGCATGGTAATGTAATAAAATTGTCAGTTTGAGCCTTAATATGTTTCTTGTTTCACTTTATGATAGAATAAAACCCAATTGAGTTAAATTTATCGGTAAAATTTTCAAAAAATTCCTAACGGTGAGGGAAATTAGGAAAGTATTTGTAAGTATTATATTTTCATTATTCCCCATACTAACTGAAAACAATAAAAAATGATGACTTGATGCATTATACTTTAGTAACCTGAAATATTTTGGTAAACTGCAACATAAACTGCCATTAAAGAAACAAAAGACCTGAAGAGATCACTTCACAAACACGAAACAAATTTGTGATTGTTTTTGCTAGGTTTCATTCGTGGTCCTATAAAGGTAAGTAAAGGCTTTCTATCCTAATATAGAAAATATGTTATGTGATGTTATGTTATGTTACGTTATATTGACAGCAATTTTTATGGGCCAATCCCAGTCTGGAGTCATAGCATAGATTCGCCTCCTTTAGCAGTGCAGAAAAGTACTGCTGTAAGGGGACACGAACACAGTAAGGTTTTTGACTGGAGAAAGAACTTTAAGAAAACAATGATTTTAAGTTTGGTTATATCTTGAATGCCATTTCATAGGATCATAGAATCACCAAGGTTGGAAAAAGACCCTTAAGATCATTGAGTCCAACCATCAACCTATCACTGCCAAGTCCATCTATACCATGTCTTCAAGCACCGTATCTGTTTGTTTCAATTAAAAAACCTGTCTGAAGATTACAGGACCAAGGGTTGGGTTTGGTTTCTTTTTGTCATCCCCTCCTCCTGGGAAACTTTTTTTTAAAGCCTTTGATTAAATATTGAAAGTGTCAGGCTGTGGCGTGGATCAAAAAAAACTATCAAGCAGAAAACATGTGGACAGTTGTTAGAAAACTGGATTTGAAGTCACACTAATATCAGCCTTTCACATTCACAGCAAACAAAAAAGGGACAGGCTAGGCACAAGCTTATCCAGAAAAGCTTGGTATCCTGTATTATGTCGCTATGCAGAAACTGAAATGACTGCAAATACTCTTCTCAGGCTGAATATCGAAGAGAGGTCCAGCAACAGTCTGTTTTCTGACGACATTTGGATTGTCAATACAACATACTTAAAAGCCTAAACTAGCAGACAGTGTATTAAGCATACAGATGAAACAAATTAATTTATTGTTCCAAAATGGAACATAGGATGAAGAATCCATTTTCTCGCAGCTACTATGTAACATTCTTCTGCCCAAAAATCCAGTCTTTTCACCTCATGCCCTAGGACAGAAATGAATCTTTTCCCAGTTTCATTTACTTTGCAGGGATGTTACATGGTTTACAAGGAGCACAATTAACATCTCCTGTCTTCTGCAGGGCTATAAGTATTCCTTGTATGCCTGACTGTACAAGGGGAATAGAGTTTGCAGTGCCTCTAGAAATTGCCTGGCACCTCCCTTGACCAGGTTCTTCAGCTCATTAACAAACAAGGACTCCCTGGCACAGAGGGGCTATGCCTCGTAGCAGCCAGCCCAGCCATTACACACCACCCTTCCCAGTTCCTGATGCTGAAAATATACCAGAAGCGCACTGAGGAATGGGATTCCAAGAGCTAAGTTGACCTAATGCTGCCATGGTGGGGGACTCAACTGAAAAAAAAAAAAAAAAAAAAAAAATTCTATGGGGTCAGTGGGCTGGATCAGCTAACAAGGGAAGAAAAGGATGTGTGGGGAGGCAGGAGGGGCAGATGTGTACCAGAACCAGGGAGGGGTTGGACTCCACCGCCAGAAGCAGGGGAAGAAGAAAGCAGGTCAGTCTATCCCTCTTCAGCACCTGGGAGAGGTATGCTTCCACAGGATGAATAAACACAAATTTATAAAGATGATAAACTGGAAAAGCAACCTTCTGCCTTCTAGGAACTACAGAGGAAGTTTTCAATAACACTGCCTCAGCCTTCGTTGACCAGAGGAATTGGGGAGTGGGAGGTGGCCAGGGAACAAGAGTCAGGACAAACAAAACAAAACAAAAAAATACACAAACCATATTACATCCCAGTGACCTGTGCATATTTGGCAGGAAAACTATGTTGTGAGCATTTAAACACTCATGCTGACTGTGTAAGAACACAGACATGACACATGTACATTTTTAAAAGCCATTGTTTTGTAGATAATACTGATGATTCCCTACTGAAGTAGCCACACAGACTTGTGTTACTCAAGAGAACAGAGGAATCCAAGTGGTCCCAACATTCCCAGTGTTTCACACTTCTCATGCTCACTTCACCCTTCTTCTCAACCATGGAAACATGGCCAAGATACGGCACATGTGGGCTGGATCGCACTGGAGTAGCTCCCTCAGCAGGTACTGGGGCACACTACAACATTGCGTGTGTGAATACTAGCTGCCTAATAAGTCAGAGGTGATTTGGGGAAATAGAAAAAAGAAAAGAAAATAATAGAGAAAAGAACAGAGAAAAGACAAGACTGTAAAAACCCTAGCTGAAAATCTGTCATAGACACTTGTATGCTGACACTGTTAAAGCATCCACCTCTCCCTTTCCCAGCTCACTTTGCAATGAGGAATGCAGCCCCACATTAACATGGAAAAAATGCCTTATTTTATTCTTTAGATTCAGGCAACTATACCAGTTCTATTCATTCAGAAAATTACAAACTAAACACATAGACTGGAGGTTTGGCTTTAATTTGAGACAATATTTGGGAAGTTACTAAAAAGGAAACAAATGATGCAAAACCAGCAGGTGTCACAAGGAACACAGAAATTCTAGTTGAAGAATGTCTTCAGAATCAACTGCCCTAAATAAAAAGGAAGAGCACTACTGAAATCAGATCAACTCATTAAGACTAGTTCAGGTAGGTATTTGGAATTGGATTGTAAAAATGTCTCTGACTTTTAACAGAAATGGTACTGAATGCTGCCAGTCTAGAAATACATGACTTGAATTTTCATTGGATGAAAGCCTTTAGAAATTTCACCCTTAAAGCTTTTGAATAAGATTGCCCTTACCTATCTTAAACTTACTGCGAGCTGGATTTGGAAGGTAGTCAACAGATACGCGCATGAATACTTTTAGCTATAGCAAAGTATGAACTAATTAGAATATGAAATACTGTTCAGTGAGTGCAGATATGTCGATCACAGCTATAGTGCTCCTCCTTTATAGTCATCATGCTGAGCTGTTGGTTTCACATATGTAACACATTAGCCTTCTCTGATGATCTTTCTGTTCATCTGCGGTGATGAAAAGTTAAAGCCTGCATCAGTCAGCGACCTGAATTGAAACCAGATAATTCTTAATAGCTGTTGAATCTTCTTTCGTTTGTGTATTTTGAAATAGTGTGTAAAAAACATCAAAAGACAGAACTCACTCTCCTCAAAAAAAGGCAAGGGATCTGGGCATTTTCTGCTAGCATAGGAAGTCCATACTGGAATAGCAAGATAGATTAACTGAAGAACCCTCCACTGAACATAATCAGTATGAGTAAAGCTACACATATCTCATACACTAATAAGCAGGCTGCTGCTGTAATTCCCAGAAAGTGTTCAGTTCTGTAATTAGCATATAGAAGTGGACTGTTTCTAAAAGATACATTTTATTACAGAAGTGAACAGCTGAATTACCAAACTAGAGGAAAAAAGTAATGCTGCTAATGCCAAATGATAGTTCTGTAGATAAGAAGATTATGAACAACCTTAAAATTATTTTAAATTCAGAAAAACTGTGAAGCCTTTTCAGGTCAAGTCTCTCTGGTTGATCCGCAGAAGACATGGGATTGTAGTACTACAGTGCTCCTTTGCAACCGTAACTACCAACATGACTGGAGGAAACTTCCACATCTAGAAATCCCGTGCCCTTCCTCTAGACTGCCTTTCCGTAATAATCTGAAAGATCTTAGCCACACCCTGCAAATGGATGGAGTTCAAGTCAGCAAACTGCCAACATTAAGTCACAACACTATTTACAAGCTCTGTGCTCCCAGGGGAAAGAAAATTCCTCAACACTTTCTTCCATACTACGTTTCCAAATTAGCAACCACTCCATCTAAAATAGGACAAAAAATGACTACGCAGTGTGCATTTCAGCGAGATATATTTGTGTTTATTTTGCATCCATTTCCCTTGCCCATCTATTTGTTCCAATATTTTGGGACACCTGAGCTTACATGCCCCTGAAGTTTTAAAGTTGCTAGAGTCAAGCTGTTAAGGACAAGTTTTGTGGAAGAGCTATGTATTTCTTTGTTTTCATAAAGACGGTGATTAAGCCTAACTACCTTTCCTTTCTTCGACTACCTAAATCCACAACGAAACAACAATAAAAAAATTGATTTGGTCAGAAAAGATGCTGGGAAAAAAACAGGGCTGTATCTGCTGGATATCTACAATCTTCTGGAAGATGGGCATCTGTGAAACTGATTTGAATAAAGGGGTCTTACTCTGCTTTCCAGTGACCTGCTGCTCCCAGTAGAGCACTGCAGACAGGAAGATGTGAAGGGTGAGCAAGTCTTGGCACATGGGCACGAAAAGCATATAGATGAGATTTTTTATTTTTTAAATACATGTAACAACAGCAGAAGCAACACTGAAACACTGTGTCCAGCTCACATCTACATTTGTGACGGAAGAAGCTGAAACAACTGTAAAGGATTCAGAAGAGAGCCATGGTTAGAGCTCAGTTACTGAGGAACCATAACTTTAGGCAAGATATGTAAAAAGTCAAGGCATTTGGAAGACATTAAAAAGTAACTTGGTCCTTGTCTAAAGGTACATAAAGACTGCTGATTGTCAGTAGTTTGTAATTTAGAAGCAAGCAGATCGAAGCAGTTAGAATACACAGTCAAACCAAAAATTAAAGGGCCATCTTATGCATTTATTTTTTAAAATCAGGAAGTACAATATGTAATGGCCTGCTTCTGGATGCTGTGGATTCTCTCGCCTGTGGAAATTATTAAATTGTGACTGCATGTTTGCTGTACCACAAACAGAAGAGAGAGTTACATTAAACCTGTGCTCGTTCTGTGGATTCTCTCATGTAAAAAGGACTTTAAGGAAGGAAATGCGTTCTTGGATCCCAACTGAATTGTGCTCCCATTTCAATATCTAAGCATTCGATGTTCAGGGCTGTTTCCTCATTCCTTAATAAAATAAGTAACATTAGTAATATAAATAATAATGTGAATTTCAGGATAAACTGCTAAGGCAGCAGCAGAAAAAAATAAGACCTGATGCATTCAAAATAGTCTCCAGTTGTGGCAACGTTGAATAACAGATGAAACTAATGTTTAGCTGGGGTTTCACACATTCTATTTATGTATAGATATTAGAATAACACACTAGAGGGAAAATGGTTTATAATAGAAAAATTCTAGAAGTTGACGTGAGATGACTGATGCATTAAGAATCCTAAACAAATCTGACCCCTTTCCTGTTCAATATGTGTCATTACACACCACTCGGGGATAAAAAGGAGACTGCAAGAAGTCCCTTGCGTGAACTTTTTAAGCCTTATGTGCCTTGAGTGTATTTAGTCAGATGTGAGCATTAGGCAAGTATTGTTAATACTGTTTCTTCTTTAACAATAGCCTGAGGCATAACTCAGTTATGGTTTCTATTAATAAACCATATCCTCTCAACAGTAATCCTGCACATTGCACTAATACTGCATCAATACTGCAGTCATTCAGCAATTACATTAAAAGAAAAGCTTTTAAAGCCCATACAATAAAGCACACTTGCAAACATACATTGTATCTTGTGTTCCTAAAATTAACTGTAAATCTTAGTTTGAGTAGTTTGTCAGAAGCTTGTTGAAATTCATAACTAGAAATTAAGGTTTAAATATTTAACTGTATTTAAGAATAATCAGGAAATGGATCTGTTGACAGCACAAAAAAGGCTAATAATATTCCAGGAAGAGAACCAGTAGATGAAATGATAATTTGCCTCCATTCAGCATTCACAAGACCACATCTACAATACCCTGTCCAATTTTGGGCCTTCCAGTACAACAAAAACATGGATAAACTGCAGTGAGTTCAGTGAAGCACCACCAAGACATGGTGGGAACTCAAGCACTTGTGCTGTGAAGAGAGGCTGCAGGAACTGGGCTTGTTCAGCCTGGAGAAGAGATGGCTTTGGTGGGGCCCAACAGCAGCCTGCCAGTGCCTACAGGAAGATCATTGAGAAGACAGAGCCAAACTCTGCACTTATGGTTGCAGGAGAACAAGAGACAATGAGCGTAATTTGAAACAGAGGTTCAGACATAAAGGAAAAACATTTTCACTGTAAGCACAGTAAGGCAGTGGAACAAGTTGCTCAGAAACATTGTGCAGTTTCCATCCTTGGAGGTTTATAAGGCCAGGCAGGATAAAGCTCAGGGCAACCTCATCTGACCTTGGAGCTGAAGCTCCTTTGAGTGGGAGGCTGAACTAGAGACCTTCTGAGGTCCCTTCTAGCCTGAATTTCCCAGTGATCCTATGAAATGATAAAGTTGGGAAAAAACACAAATTGGCATTTAAATTGATAAATCACACATTGATCTAGCATGCAAGCTGGCCAATTACAGTTTTGCTTCCATGTTACACTTCATATTAATGTTGCACACTTTTTTACAAAAACATTGTAAGAAGGAAGAGGAAACAGATATGAATGTCACACCAGGTTCCTTTCTCCACAAGCTTCCTCCCATCCTCAGGTAGCACTTAAGGATTTTACCTTCTACATGTCTATCACATCTGCCTCTGCAAAAGACAGTGGTGTGTTTTCCACTTCTGACCTAGCTGCTCACTGAGTATGTTCATGGTTCTGCAAATATAAGGCTTTGGGTGATGAGACGGAAGCATGAGATGGGGACAGGTATTCTTTACCCACACTGTCTGCTGCTATCGAAGCAGAGGGACTACAGTTTGGTGGAGGTGACAAGAAGTCAGGGAACACCCTCATGTGTCTTACTGCAGTCTTCATCTTACCTTACAGACACCAAAGCTCATGCTGGAACCTGAGAGAAAATACAAACAGTATAGTACTTTAAGTAACATTAATCTTTAAACTTTCTCAAAAAAAAAAAAAAAAAAAAAAAAAAAAAAAATTTTTCA